ATGTTTTCTTTCTTTTTTCTTTTGTCTTTCCCTATTGACTATTATTATTGTGCTATTTCTTGTCCTATCATCTCAGCGCCTGAGCTGTATTTGTTTGTTGATGGAGTTTTCTATGCTGAAAAAATTAAAATAAAATATTGAAAAAAAAACAACAAAAAAAACCAACTATGGATTAGGAAAGGGATGCCACGCAAGTTCATATGCGTATGAAGGCAGACAAGCAATATACTTTTGCCAATATAGTGCATATGTGCACATGCAGATCTCAAATTAAAATGAATACAGAACAATTCTGAAATTACATTTTATCTTAAGTCTAGTATTAAAAACTCATTAGTATAAGTTAAGCAGACAATTATTCTGCAGTGAAAACTCCACAAAACAGTATTTAATACTTTTCTTTTAGTAAAGCAAATCTCTTTGGATTTGGGGCTGTTTGTGACACAAAACAAAGAATCTTAGGCACTCTTTTTGGCTCACCGGGCCTAAAATGGACCCTGTGCATTCCCATGAAATAATCAATGTTCACTTAGTTCTCCAAGCTTTCTGAAGATCTTCCAAAGTTGAACAGTATCTGGTCTCAGTGGAAGGGTGGTTGTAAAGAATAAGTTCAAAAGCAAGGCAAACAGTGAGAAAATGCTGAGGTATGCCAAATTACACAAAAGCTGAACTGAATATCAGTGACAACAGGTCCTATGGTGTAATGTATCCAAATTTGATCCTGGCAATGATATTTAACACACTGCCAAGGCAGGATAAGCACACCTGGAAAATGGAAAGCTCAGTCATGGATTGGCAACCCAAGAGCTCAGACCTCAACATTGTTGAAGCAGTGCTGGATCATCTTGACAGAAAACAAAAGGTAGCCAACATCCAGAGAAGAGCTTTGAATGTCTTTTAAGAAGCCCAGATAACTATTCTTGGGAACTGCTTACAGAAATTACGAGAAAGCTTGCCCAAGAGATTTCAGAATAGAGCTGGTCATACCAAATATTGACTTTCAAACTCATTAGAACATCACAGACAGTTTCCCCCCTTATAGACTGTATTTCCATGTATGCTTGCAGATGCTTTAATAGATCACTGCAACCATTTCCCATTTTATGAGCAACATATTAAAAAAAGTATAGTGGCGAAAAAATCTTTGCAAAAACCTTGTGGGTTGGTCCAAAACCTTTGCACAGTACTGTAACAATATTTGTCATTTAGCTCCAGTTAACTTTTTTCTTACAGACATCATTTGTGTAACATGTGATTAGTCCTCACCCAGTTTTGAGATCTGTGACACGGAGGCAGTTTGTGGAATCAAGCCCCACACGTCCATTCCTCACCACACTGCACAGCAGGGGACGCAGCTCAGGTGAGATCCGGTGCAGTGCGACTTCAGGGGACATATTGTTCATTTTACCCACTGTGAGCAGTCTGTAGAGACACGATAACAGCATAGAAATGCTTTGAATTATTTTATTAAAAAGCTAATTAACACAGTAGAAAGATTAAATATTAGTATTTGGTATCGATCTGCTGCCAGTTGTTTTACCCTGTTAGAATTCTAACAAAACATAGGTCCGAATTTGTTTTTCAACGATTAACCTTAGGTCAGCCAAACCTCATCCAGTCTCTTCAACCTGCTCCCTACTTTTCTTTAGATCCAGTGAAACACAGTGAATCTCCTTCTGATCTTCTACATCTGTGCTTTCTCCCCATAAAGCCATAGTGCTACTCACTGATTACCACCTTTCTTCTTAACCTAGGTTTAACAACACTTTCCCATAGCTTCATGGTATGAAGCTACAGAGACATTGGCTTTATGCCTCTGTAGTTGCTACAGATCTGCACAATACCCTTGTTCTGTACCAGTATACTCAGATGTCTCTCACCATCCAAGACTGTGTTCAGCCATCTGGTTAACAAGTCTACTGCCCTCACTCACAGATATAGCCATACCTCCACAGGTATGTCATCTAGACTAGCCACTTTCAACACTTCATTCTTTTCATAGCTAACCTTACTTCCTCCTTATTATTTCTCTGCATTTCCCGATTACCAACTGTCCTTCATTTGTCTTTCTCTTTCTCTCTTTTTCCTCAAGGGAACTAATTTTTGAAAAACATTAAAGAACAGTTACAGTGGCAACAGACCCTGATTTATCTGGGACATTTTGTAACAAATCGAAAACATCTACAAAGTAAAATTGAGCCTTGTAATCAACGAAGTAGTATAAATAAAGACAGTTGTTTCGTTATTATCCTTTTTAAACTACAAACTTTAACTATGATTAAATATGCATTTTTTCATCATAATTTAAAAAAAATAACTATTTTCCCCTTTCCATATAAGTCAAAGGCAATAAATGCATATATCGAAAGTATTTTTTCACTCCCTATAGCTTTCCAAAAATGCAATATCGCTGGCTTTACTTTTCAGCTATCATTTCCTGGTATTATAGAAATGTTTTCCCCTTCCTGTTTTAAAATTGCTACCTTTCTATCCAACTTTTTCTGAAAAATACAGATTTTAAGAGAAGAATAAGGCACAGTAACACAATATCCACAAAACATTTCTTAAAAGTTTAGTGTTAATATAAAAACATTAGAAGGAAGCTGGTTTAGTTGCAACACTGGAAGCTTCCTTTCGCACTATAAGCACACATGGAAAACACATATTACATATAATGTTGTAACATTTTAACGTTCTAATTTGGTGATACATTGAATGCGTTAAGGGTAAATTATTAGTGTTTATGCCACAGTTTGTAATTCAGATGCTCATAGGTTTGGCATCGTTAGCCACTGTTAGCTTAGCTCATACTTATGCGTCAAATTAACACGATTTAAACGTATAGCGTCCTCAAAACCTCCCCTGCCCATTTCCGTCCATTTCAATACAGCCTGCGGCGGGTGTGTGAGTACCTGAGAGAGATAGAAGCCTTTAAATTTCAAGGTAAAGTCCAATGTTTACTTCATACTCTGATCAATTTCCCCGGTTCATATTGTTGTTGGGTCCTTGTGATAGCCCCACAGTTAGGTGCCTCTCATAATGCCTGTGGGTAAATTTACTTTCATTCTCTTGCAGGAGCCGTATTTCCTCGTGATATATTACCTATGGCGCGGTTTTGTTTGGTATTTTTATATCTTAACACTGTCAAATAAATCTAAACGTTTATTCATTAATAAAATGACAGTGGTTGATCTGGCAATAGCGATAACGCCAGGGACCTGTCACCGTGCACTTTGACCTTGGACTTCAAGTAGTGGGTATTCAGTTTTACAATCCGCAGGAGATTATTTGAATTCCAGGTAATTTAACACACTTCATTTTACTTTGGAGGTTGTCTAATTGGTCCGGGTCATGATCTTTTAGTTTTTTGATCGGTTTATTCCTCAAATACTTGAGGTGTCAGAGTATTTGGCTGCATATGTAATGACATGTACTAAGAGTTTACAGTACACCAATAATACAAGATATTTGGGCTTGTACACGACATTACCATATGCTAAAATGGATAAAGAGAACAATTAACAAGTAAGTACAGTAAAGTACGTGCATTTCTAATATGTGAATAAATTACCATAAAAGAAAAGATTTTATGATACTGAGCTTTTAAAAGATTAAGGTTGACTTAATGGTTCTTTTATTTATTTTCCTAAGCTTGAGTTATACTGGATCATTGAATTTGATACCAGTTTTAAACCATTATTCATGATATACTTGGATCAGCTACAACTATTAAAATCACCTACCTAAAAATTATCTTCCCTCTCCACCACCATTACAACTGCCATCATCACCGAGGCCTAGATATAGGATCTCTGGAGGGCTCCTACAATTTTTGAGATTGAGACTTGCAAACAGATTGTAGGGTTTTCAGTTCTGGATCGTGGGAGCTGCAGATTTTGTCAAGCCCTTCAGAGCCTTTTGTGTTCCTCCAGCAGTTCTTGAGCAAGTTTTGCTAAACGTATAGGGATGGATTCAGCTTGTTCCAGTTTCAGTCCGATGCAGATACTTTGACTTAAGGCAGCGATACCATTGTTAAAATAAAAATGATTTCTGCTTTTTTTAATATAGCAAATTTCATTACACATAAACTCAATATATTTACCATAAAAGCTAAAAACTATGTAAGTCGACAATGTCTTGAGGGGATGAAAACAACAAAATAAAATACTAGTTAACACACATGTGCGCATAAACACACACAGACACAGCTGTCAAGTGCAAACCTACAAGAATAAAAAAGTTTTAAGTATGTTTTTCAGTGTAGACAGATATAATTGATCTCAGTTTAGCAGGAAGCTAGTTACAAAGAACAGGATTACAGTAACAATAATATTAATATTAATAATTCAGGGAACCATTAAAAGATGTCCTGAGATGTCTAACAAGGTTTTAGACACTGATCAAGTCAGAGATGTTCCACTGAGTAATCATCACTTTGACTGATGCTGGAAATGATCCTTTTTTATATGCAAGTACGCACTGATTTCCTAACTTTATAAAATAAAATGTAAGAAATGTACCAAAGATTACAGCAGGATAAAAATAATTAAAATATTCATATCTAGTCTCCTATCAGTTCATTGTGAGAACTATTTCTTCAGACTGCTGTCATTTATATTTAATGTACTCTAGTTTATCCTTTCCTGGTCTCACAGTTTCACTGAGTCCACCTCCTTCGACTGCTCCTTACACACACATTGGGCTGACAAGAAACGTGCGATGTGAAAATATATTAATGGAGTGAAACAAAACGTCACCGGTGTTACTGTAAGTGCAGTAAAAGCTTCCAAACAACAACAGAAGATAACAACAGTGACAGCGAGTAAGCTAAGAAAATATTCTTGGAAGTTTTTAGTAATTTCTGCTCTCTTGACCACAGTTTGTGGTTAAACTAAAAGCTTTTGCAAATATCAAAATGAAAAATGTTGATGTAGGTAGAGTCAATGCTTCCAAGCTGCTGAGGCTTTGTTGTCATCTTCCTCCATCCTATGTTAGTCTTCCCACCAGTTATCAGTGCACTGCTTCTATCAGATGGTGAATTAAACACAGAACAATATAGAACTCAATTAAGTGGATCAGTCATAGTCCATCTTATTGTCACTGATATGCAATTTAAATATTGGATCAGTGCAAAGTATAATCAAACACAGTCAATCTTTATTAATACATTTCCAGCAGTGTATTTCACAATCCACTTACAACACCACTGTGCGTGTTCTCCACAACAAACAAGCAGACCTACTCTGAATTACAGTTTTTAAAGAAAATGTTTGTTTTGTTGCTTATTAAACAAAGCCGACTGCAATACTTCTATATATGTAACAGGCTACCATTGGCTGATAATATTAGTCATTTGATATATTGGTTGATTATTGTCTTTGAAGTTGACCTTTATCTCGAGCTTGAACGATATGGTAAAAAATACACTACATACACCCCCACTAATATTTGGTTAAATATGCTTTAGCAAGTTGCACCTCAACCAAATGCTTTTGGTAGCCATCAACAAGCTTCTGGCATAATTTGAAGATAATCCTCAAGGCTTCATTTTTGGCTCCAAGAGACCTTTCCAACTCGTGTAAATTTACAATTCTTCTTCTTAGAGCTTCACAGACTTCTGAGATCTTCATAAAGTTACCATGATATCCATGCTCATGAACCATGAACTTTTGACCAAAACTGTATAACCTGGTGTAATTTGCTGGGGATGGATTGGAGGAATTTCTAGCCTATCACAATAGGAGCTCGCTGCTCATGCATTTTTTTTTTGCCCTCCACTTACTGATTTTTAGCAGGGCAACTTTAAATGGTCTGTTTTGCAAACAGCACTAAAATAAAAATGGAAATTCAATGCCAGCACTCCTGCCGCAGTAGAAATGACACCACATATGGTGGGTCATCCTGGCCCCTTTCCAAATCTGCATTGATCCATGCATGACTATTAATTTACCATCAAGCTCCAACAGTGACTCCAACCAAGTTCCAACTACTGCTAGCTAAATAAAAAAAAAAAAGAAAAGCATTCAGATTAGCAGGTCATTATATTATATAGAAGCCTCAACAAAAAAGATCTACAAATATTAATACTAAGGTTCAAGGTTGGCTAATAAGTACCTCTCTTCAAGGGTACAGCCCTTTATTTTAGCTTTAGTGACAAGCTGTTGTAACACTAAAAGTGCAGTAAAGGTTTTTGGTTTCTGAGAGTGTATTTAGCATGGAGTGAACATGTGAAAGACCTGAAATATGTCATTTCTTGTGCAAACAGAACAACCCTAACTTGCAAAATAAAAATGAAAGGTGATCACAAAGGCATAGAAATTATATCAGTGCACTGGGCGAGACCGTATGAGGGCAGTTTTGTCTGATTCACCACTGGGAATTTCCACCTTCCTGGGAGTGATTCACAGTCAGTCTCAAAGCATCCAGAAAAAACAGCCCCCCCCCCAAGAAATATGTTGAGCCAAAGTACTCTGGTGAAATTGTTTACTAGTTCAACTCTCAGCTTGAAGTTGGTCTAACTTAAGTGGTTAGGAGGTTATGACACCGGGAATTGAAATAAAACAAATGCAGCTAGCGTTTGTGTGTGGGTAGAGCTGGAAAAAGTGTCTATAATCTGAACGTATCTGAACATTTGTTATACAGATATGGTCATATCATTGCCATAAAAATATTTTCCAGTTAAGCCAGACACTGGGAAGAATGCAGGCTCACAAGGGTTTTTACAGTTGATCCAAAAGTTTTTTCTTTGGGATTTTGTTTGCAGTTCAGTCTAAAACCAGAGTTAACAAAGTGCAGACTTTGTATCATTTTATGCAACCTGACACACAGTTACAAGACAAGAGTGCAATATTATACCTTTAATCATCTATAGGTTCATGTAGTGTGTTAATAATATAGCAAAACAGACAGAACTTTCAGTTTTATCTCTTATATTAGCTTGGATTTCTAAACTATTTACTAGCAAAAAAATGGAATATTACCCGCAAAACACAAAGCATCGTCCTCCATAGCTGAAAACTGAAGCCAAAACAGAAACACCAAAAGCTGAAGTTTCTTCTAATGGTTACTGGAAGCTGATTTTAAAACTTAGTTAATCTCCATAGACTCACATATGCAATTTTAAAAGAGAAATAACAAATTTATAGCCTACTACAAAAAGCAGTCGTTATCTCTATAGCTAATTTCCTTCTTCATGGCAGCTGTACGTAGAGTGATTTTTTTTATAACTCAACTGCTCAGATTTTGGTAAAGCTTAAAATTGAGGGTGCTGTCACTGAGAGGTGGCTGTATCTGCTAAGGCCCCAGTCACACAGGCCTAGACCAGTCAGCAACCACCAGTTTCTAGAGAAAATGTGTATTACTCAACTGTTTGCCTAGTGGTCCCTGGAGGTTGTTGGCATATGCCAAATGACATCGGTTACAAAAGAGGAGGACTTGTTGTGATTGCTTTGGTTGTTAGCAGATTGTCTAAGTCACCCATAGTTTGCATGCAAGGTGCAGACCTTTCTGCAAATATTGCCATTTACTCTCTGAAGTGTACAAAATGTGCAGGTTTTATTTTGAAGGTGAATACTGACCATTCTGTGTTATACTTTCCACAGTTCCACTACCACTTGGCAAGTATTTTACAAGAGTTTGCAGGCATGTCGGTGTCTGTTGTGCAACCTCATAGTGACCAAAGCAATCGCAAAGATGTTTTTGAATCTACACTTTTTACCTCTTTCCAACCAATTTCAAACTAGTGACTACCAGCAAACTCCAGTAACTGGAACGTGCATTTTCCCCCTGTGTCCCATTTTTGCCAGATTGTTGCTGATTAGCCTCAAGACCTGTGTGACTGAGACCTAACTGTCTTCTAGGTTTTCACCTTAGCTAATTGTCACGAACAGTTAGGGATCTCTAGACCATGCTTGGGACTGCTGGTGCCTTTTTGAGTATTTTATTTATAATTATCTGAAAAATAATTACAGTAACATGATTTATTGTGTGGCTATTTTTACCAGCAGATGTCTATTCCAGGGGTCGGCAACATGCGGCTCCGGAGCCGCATGTTGCTCTTTAGTCCTGCTCCGCGTGGTTTGGGAAAATAAATTAGAAGTATTTAGCTGAAGTGTATTTTATTTATGTTAGTTATTTTTTAACTTGTAGTTCTAAATTGGAAGATTATTGTGATATTGAAATATAAGAATAAAATTATATTCTATTATTTTTTCATCGCTCTAAATAAGCGTCACACTCGCGGAAGCCGGTGTACCCGCCGAAACGCCGTGCATATATCAAGACTTTCAGCCTCAGGTAGGCCAATTATGGACCTTCGGATCCACATTATGTCACCACCGTGAACTATGTTAAAAACAAACACCGCTCACGCCTCACAGATGACAGCGTACAGTCCTGGGTAAAGATGTAAGTGACTTCGTACAGCCCCGATTTGCAGACGCTGTGCGCAGAGGTTCAGGAGCAGAAGTCCCATTATAAAGATATCACGGTAGAACCGATGATGTTTCCATCAACATGCTTTTCAGCATCTCTTTATTGACCACTTTTCACACACGGTTGCTGCAGGCATACAGCCGGCTGTAGCTTTTCAGCTCACAGCCCGACAACACAACAGCATAGATAGCACAGACGTTAAGGTGGCGAGGCGTGATTGCGGGTGCCGCTCAGGTGCGTCCGCCTCCCCTGCAGCGGCGCTGCAGACCACGCCCCGCTACACACATTAACCAGGTAAAATACATATTTAGGCAGAATTTTGCAAATATATATTTTTCATTTTTTTGCAGCATAGTGCTTTTTTTCCAATTATTTTTTAAAAGTCAGGTCAAGGCTCCAAAAGCCCAAAGGCGATATAAGGGTGGCAGCTCACAACAGTTTTTGTTTGCTACATGGATCATTTTAGTTCAGCTGGGTGTCTTTCCTTTTCTTATATTTCTTTAAGAGTTCAAAATGTGTTAATTACATAAATAATTTTCTCTGTAACATTTCATGGATTTCATAAGCAACACACTTTAGTTGTTCACACAAAGCATAAGGTAAAAAACAATATATACAGTGTTATCTTCATTTTAGATGTCAAAATGTATTTGCGGCTCCCAGTGTTTTCTTTTGCGTGGAAACCGGGTCCAAATGGCTCTTTGGGTGTTAAATGTTGCTGACCCCTGGTCTATTCTCTTGTTTTGGTAAATGAAGTTCTAGGATTTTTTTTGGATGTTACTTATTAGCATTTGACCATTCGACAAATTAGCATTTGTCTGCATCTGTAGATGCAGTTTGTAAACCAAGCTAGCAAGCATCAGCATATTGCTTTGTATCCCACCTTCTTGTCCACATATTGTCATTCCAAGATGCAATAAACCAACATGGTGGCTGCAAAAATGCTAACACTGCTTCCAGAAAAATAACAGTCTGCATCCTTCTTTCAAACACAGTCTGCGCTTAAAACAGCATGCATCATATTATTTTAAAAAAAGTGTTTAATATGTGTGAACCTCAATCACATGCTGGCTACACGCTAAAGTATCACTCATAAAATTTTTTTTAAAACTGCAGGTCTAAAATTGTATCACATTGTGCATGCGACTTTAATTACACTGTTTGTAGTGTTTAACATGCCCTTTCCTTAATGTGCTTTTTTTTTTTAACACATTTTGCAACACCTTTTTATAGCAAACGCTTAATATAAATGAAGTTTCTCACATTGGTCTGCTGAGCATCATAGCTCAGCTCAAGTTTAACTAGTAAGTGAGAATTTTGAAAGGGGTTCCCTGCTAATTCAAGTGGTCAGACAATGCAGTTCTTCACTGTAGTGAAGTTCTTGATGCCTGCAGAGAGAAGACACTATTCTGCAAGATGTGGGAGAGAGAATTGAGCCATCCTACAGCCAGCGGCCAAGCTTTCCAAGTCTTCCACTGCCTAGGAAGAGATTTGAAGAGATTAACACACTAGCATTAGCTCCGATACAAGCAGAGGATTGAATTAATTAAAGACTTTGCTGTGCTGCGGTGCATTCACATGGTGTAGCATTGAAACTGTCGCCACCCCACCCCCAGTAAGACTGGAATTTGTCCAACTCAGCCAGCCATGAATGCTCTATTTTTACCTTCTTCCTTGTTTCACTCAAGCTCATGCTAATGTGAGAGATAAATAAAATCAAGTGATTTTTGTTTGGAGGCTGTTGAGAAACTAGTTTACATATTTTGCCTGAAATGCCCCCATCAAGCTGCGGCTAAAGTCCTTCTGTCTGTTTTTTGAATGTTGTGAAATTCATTGAACAGTTAATTTAAAGTGAGAAAGGGCAATTGTTCCTGTTGTAATAATACAACCGTATGTGTTTGTGTGGCTTTTAATCATCAGATCATGACTGAGAAGGTCTTTGATATTGTGGTGGTTGGCTCCTGTATGACTGACTTGGTGAGGTAAGTAGATTTAGTCCATTATTTAACTTTAAATCTGGTAAATCGATGATAGCATGTGAAACAAGTTGTTCCACTGACAATGATTATAAATCATCTTAAAATTTTATGAGAAGGCTAAATCTGGGTGCAGGAAACACCTCTGCTTCCTCAGGTGGACCCAACAGGAAACAGCACATTACCATGTTAGGAAACTAATTTCAAAAATGTTCAGCAGACTTTGTCAAATTTGTGTCAAGTCCCGATGTGGCTTTGCTTATTAGTTAGAATTGTGGTCAGAGGTTTATGTAAGTGCATCTCATGGATGAACGTCATTGTAATTTTGGTCTTTTGATGATTTCTTTGAACTTTTCCAGGGTTGAATTAATAAGGAGCATACCCTTTAATGCCTGAAAAAAAAAACCAAGTATAAAAATATATATACAGGCTCACATGGTTAGAATATAATTTATTTTTTGATAGCTATCAACAAGCTTCTGGTTTAATTCTGGCTGGATATCTGACCACTCTTCTTGGCAGAACTGATCATGCAAATTGGTTGGTTTCCTGGCATGGATCCAGCATTTAGGCACAGTACACAATCAATAAATATATATGGCTTTAGGAAGACCATTCCAGAAGCTTAATGTTAGCCTGCTTAATCAACTTGTTTCACTGTGGACAGTAATGCTGGTGTTTCAGCAGTTTCCAGTTCATGGCAGGCTTAAGCTGTGGTGGTTTCTGGGTTGTTCCTGAACATCTTAACCAATTTCCTCTCACCTAAATGTAACAATTTGGGTCTTGTTCTAGACTTTGGCAAAGTGGTGACACATCTGTAACTTGTACTTATGAAACTTGGTTGAACTGATGACCTTGAAATCTGCGGTTGAATAGAAACAGCTACAAGAGACATTCCCACTTGTGTAAATCTACAACTTACTTTCTTAAATCTTCAGTTTATTGGACTTTCCCATTGTTCTGAGTCAGTCAAGTGGGTGCTGTCAACCTAATTTATATGTTCATATTAAACAAGGGCAACAGGTCAAATAATCAGGTAAACAGATGTAAAGGTAATATCATTGTGAAGAGTGAAGCACTTCAGACTTCAGAATGATATGCTAAGGTGAGTTTTGGCTTTCTTGCCCATAAGTCTGCTTTGGATGACATAAATTTCGTCATCAGATAATGAGTGTGGACTTTGGGCAGATGTCGGTGTATCAGCTTCACATTGACTTCAAGCTGATTTCATGACAGCATAACGTAAATAACTTCTGAGGGCAACAGCCAGTATTGGTGGGTCACAGCAATGGTCTCATATAAAAAGCCAAGACAAAACAAAGACTTTGAAAACAAGACTTCCTGTTCTGCATGCAAGTCTTTTAGTGCAGTCTGATTATGATTGCAGACGAAGTCTGAAAAACTGAGTTGTATCAGATTATAGCCAAAGATTTCAAGATTGTGTTTCATCCATTGCATTCCTGTTTTCCACGGTTAATCTGCCTGCAGCCTGTTCAAACGTCAGTGCTACTCCATCAACAAATGGAAACCAAGACCCAGGTTTCCTACAGATTGTGCATATTTAAATGCATATAACTGTTTATATAAATTTGTTTTGAAGCTGTAAATCTGCCACCATTATCAGTGTAAACTGTAAAAGCTCAGGCTTAGCAACAGTAACTCAGAGGATGCACCTCAGAAAACAGTCAATTGTCTTTGCTTGTTTCCCTTTATTATTATTAACCACTGCAGCCAGCCTTTTCCTCCAGGGATTTTATTTTGACATGCACGCCTGATGGAAAATATGGCATAAGGGCTGAGGGGTGTTTTCCATCAGCCTGAAATGGTCTGCAAAGTCTGCCTACACTGGAATAGAGGAAGTGTTCTAAAGTTAGACAATGCTGCTGCATTTTCAGTATTTGTCCTAAAAGCCCCCTGAGTTACAGGAAACATCAGCAGTGTGCGTGTGTTTGGCTCAACGGCTTTCAGGCCATTAGGCAGTAATAAAGGGCAGGCTCCAGGTTCTAATCCGTCTACTAGATTGCAAAACACGTTCATATTGGACTGAAGAATGCTGCCATCAGCTTTCATGGCATTTTTAAAAACACATGATTTTTTTTAAGTGAATCAAAATTTAAAAAAAAAAATAGACAGCAGAGAACTGAAATAAATGGAAATAATTTAAATTATTGAGCAAAAAGTTGTAGGCTGATGTTTTAGTTTTGTACGCCTACTCTTTCCCAGCATTTTTGTAACTACAATTTTCGAAAAGACCAGTAAAAGTAATAAATTAAAAACAAGGAAATAAACAAGATAAAAACAAATGTTCAGTAAACAATGGTTATCATACCTCAGTTTGTTTAGCTCTTGATTTTTAGCTTGTCAGTTGGTACATAAAAAGCGAATCTATTAGTCTAAGATATACAAATGATTAAAGTGCACGTTTTATGTCACTGTTATTTGTAAGTAGATGTTTTTTTTAAATCTTGGACTTTACAAGTCCAGCTTTGAATGATTCACAGTTCAAAATAATCCTTATTTATTGTATGGTGCTTCCTTAGAGAATTCAAAGGCCTTTATATTCCAAATCTAAGTCATGTAGTATAACCAACAAGAGACCGGTGATGTATAAAGTCTTATGGAGGCACTAGATTGTGTAAACGCAATATTCTTGTAGCATCTCTTGCATTTTCGTCAGCACAGAGGACGGCCTGTTTTCATGAAAAATCGGTTGGAACTTGTCTAATTTAAATGAGACAATGTGTGGCAAGAAGTGTCATTTGTGCTTTTACAATGATTCGTAATTGATGAATATCTTTCCAGCTTTATCAAAATTAAAAACTCCCTGGCACATCCAAAGAGTCTCACACGAATGCTTTGTCTCATCATTATATATTCTGATGAGTTTTAAAGTCATTCTCTTTAATTTGTGTTTGCAGTAAAAAATGCTGTAGGGGTGAAGCAATAAGATCAGCTAGGAAAGAGAGCATCTAACTGGGCCCTGTGCTGTGAAGCAGGTTCAGCATACCCAGAATATCTTTTGCTTATCTGGCTTTACTTACTCGAACCAATCAGGTTAAGCGATCATAAAAAGCTAAATTTTACCACCTCAATAAGTGAACATAGGGTCCACCTCAGGTCTGCCTCTGGTTTTACAACAGAAAGGAAACTAAAATGCTGAAAAATATGACGAGATTAAACATATTGTACTGAAAGCAACAAAGCTGCTGCAGAGAAAGCAGCAGAGTGTGCCGCGTGAGAGAGTGTGAGAAAGGAGAAAAGTATGGAAATAAAAATGCTCTATGAACGTGTGAGCACTTGACGACAAAAGAAAAGTTGGAAAAAATGTCAACTGTGTAAGTTAATGCTAAAGTGAATCTATATTTCCTACTGATGCTCTTTTTGAAAGACAAAAACTTGATTTAATCTCTTAATATGCACTCACTGAAGTCCGGGTGATCTTCCAGGAGTAGTGACTCTATTTTGCAGTGTTCTGAATTATTCAGTAGGCAGTGATTACATGCTTGTCAGTCTTTTACCTCGAACACAATCTGCCCTTGAGTAGGTTAGGTCTGCAGTGTAAGTTACCATGGCGATGTGAACCACCTGCATAGCAGAGAAAACTCTGGGTTAAACCCTGAAGTTCCATGGAGAGGACCAAATCCTGCTGTGTCGTATAGACCTGCAAACACAAATGACAGATTGGTTGAAATGTGTGTAGTAAATAGATTAATAATGTTTACGATGACTTAGTTTCATACAACTTGGATCATAGAGAAGCAGACAGAAATTATGGATGCATGTATTAGCCTGAATTATGCATTACAAACTTGATGGTCAACCAAATTATGAGTTTCCACAAATCAAAATCGCTATTTATCCCTTCCTCTAATTGGCATCATTTTACAAACAAATGAAGGCTTTTAGAGCATTCTGAATCCTAGGTTCACATGTACATACAGTATGCTCATGTTTATTAGGAACATTCATCACTGTAATAATACATATGTGACCAAAAATAAAGAAAATCAGAGTATGTCCACTTAATTTCTGGTCTAAAAGGTGGGACCATCTGATGGTAAATTCAAGTCAAACTGTGCAGATGATCTGGTATAATTCCTGCTTGCTAAAATGTCAGCGTTGCATCATCCTCGTACGTGGTGAAATTTGTTGAGCCAAGTAGGATCCATTCCCACAATCATTAGTCATCAACTGCAGCACAATGGGTTAGTTTGAAACAATTTGTCATCCTCTTTTACCAGAACCTTTGCAAGCAAATGACACAATCTCAAAAGGCATATAAATCAGCTGTGATGGCAAAAGTCTCAGTGGGCTCCAGCCAACTAAATGTCTTCCTCTCAGCGTGAAGAAGTGTGGAGATCGCGCAACAGTTTGTGTCATGCTGCGTCTTTTATATTTTTATGTGAAAAACATATATGACTGACAGGTGAGGGGAGCAATAACTGTCATGACTGTCACCTGCATGCCAACGACTGAAGCTCTGAATAAACAACAAACAAAATATGAGCTGCAGAAAAAGTTTCATAGCAGCTTTGCACAAAGTTGTCGCTTGACTGTCCACACTTATCAGAAACACATGCCTTCTCCTACTGCGAGTTTTTTTGGGAAAGGAAAGGCACTTTTTGGTTGCTCATTAGCAATTCAAGCAGTGACTTTCTGCTTTGAAGGGCAGGAGATGTCAATTAAGGCTCTAATAAGCTAATGGGAAATGGCCTGTTTTTGGTGGCAGGGAGTGTGTGTGTGTGCGCGTGTGTGTGTGGTGGGGCTTTTTTGGATGGAGATCAGAATGTGGATAGGGGAATACATTTGCAGCCCTTCAAAGTGATATGCATGACTTTGAAGTTAGAAATCCAGTTGTCTTGAACAGCCAGTGTTTGGGTGGCAGTACAATTAACTGACAGACAGCAGAGGCGCACACGCACACACACACGCTCCTTTTCTTTTTGCTTCTGCCATATAAACACCCAAATGTAAGGCAGATTTCTGCAGTGTTTAGTTTCAAATGC